AACTTCAGTGAAACGTCACGTCGTCACCACAGGTATTTTAGTCCTGCGTATGCTGTTCGAGCCTCGGAAATGCGGGCAGTTATCTCCTTTTATGCGCTACCGTCGTTGGTCAAGCAACTACCCAAGTACGGGAAGCAGTCAACTTCAGATAATTCCTGATCGTCCAGTTTCGGAACAGAACTCGGTGACATCCAGTCTTGTAGCATTACTTTGCACTTCGAAGGTGCAAGGCACATGCCGAAAGGAGCAACAGAACTTGCTGATCTGTCAAGTGCCCTTTGCGCATCCTCCATAGATTCGAACAAGTAGACGATGTCGTCAGCGTACTTCAAGTCGCACAGCTTTTCTCCAGCTGCCCATTCAATACATACATTTTGGAGACCACTTGATGTGTTCTCCCGTATTTCGTCTATGACGAAATTGACCAGGAATGGCGAAAGAGGGCACCCTCGACGAACACCGCTGCTAGTTACGAACGACCTACTCAGATTGCGTAGTCGTTGCAAGATTCCTTCTTAAAAATGGGAAAAATCAATGATTCACTTCAAGATGATGGAATGCGTTCATGTGACCAGATGTTACACATTATATCAGTATTGGGGTCTACGAGTTCATCGCTTACCATTTTGAAAAAAATGGGGGGAAGTCCGTCTGGTCCTGCTGTTTTTCCTTTGTTCGGGGCTTGTATGCATGATCGAACTTCTGTTTCAGTAGGAGGTTCACATGAAACTTCCCATGGAGCCTCAAATACAACAGACAATATAGTCTGGTTAGCACCCGGCCAGCTGAACTGTTCGTTGAAGTACTCCACCCACCGATCAAACCGTTGTTCCCTATTGTGAACAGCTTGTCCACTTTTGTCACAGATTGTTTCACCAACTGTGTTTCGCCGACCTCCAGCGTTGCGTATCAGTTGGAACAATCTTTGACTGTTCCGCGATACAGCTGCGACTTCCATTTCACTAGCTATCGTTACCCGCAAGTTCTTACGGTCTTTCTTGAAGCTCTTCTTGTGTTGTCGTTGCAGGTGCCACTTATCCCTGCCTTGATCCCAGACGGTCGGGATTTGCCGCTTTTTCTCCATCAGTGCTACTGAATCATCAGATATCCAATGCCTCGGGCGGTCTACCGCTTCAGATCCACAAGCAACCTTCGCTACGAAGTGCATTACTCGTCTAATCTGATCCCCTTGTTTATCTACACTACCACACCGCAGTGCGTTTAGCTCTTTTCCTAGTTCTGATTCAAAACGGGCACGAACGGCTGAGTCAGATGAACTATGATCTTCCAACCGTGTTTGGTGGTTTATTTTGTGACCAGTGAGTTGGAGAGTGAACTGCATCAACACTAATGCATGATCAGTTTCCAACGCAGGTGGTCCAATAGGGCCTGCAGTTTTGTACTCAGCTACTCCAACGGTAACTTACTGCTATGTGGTCGATTTGAGTTATGGTACCAGTCAAATTAGAGCGCCACGTTGTTGTTGCGCAGAACTGAAGAAGTCGATCGTCATTATCTGTTCGCTGGCAGGGCAGAGCACAATGACTACCCAGGTCAGCTTCCGATGCGCTCTGTTTCCCAACTTGAGCGTTAAAATCACCTGCGAGAACAACTTTATCGGAGCTTCGACTCAACCGAATGAGTTCGATGAGTTTATCATAAAAGTCGTCCCTTTGTGCTTCAGAACTGCAGTTTGTCGGAGCATACGCTGAAATGATGAACAGATACCTTTTGGTGTTGCTTCCCTTCCGGACGCTGATGGACCCTTGGAGCCCAATCGCATATAAGTGACTATTGAGGAGAATTAAATCGAGTAGTGCAGCTTCGGTTTTATTATTGAGTACAATGTCCACGCCACGCTGGCCTACTGA